CACAGGTGCTACAGTGGTTGAGAGTGATGGGGACGACACCTGAGGGGAGAAATCAAATACTGTCTAAAAATGAACAAAGATGTGCAAAATGATGTAAAAATAAACTTTGTAATAAAAAAATGAACAAAGATGTCAGAAAATAAACACATTTTACAAACACACACACAGATCTTGAAAACATTTTCCCTTTGCAAAACATGAGAGGCAGCTCTCCTGTCCACCTGTGACTATGCAGGTACCCCTCTTTTTTCTCCCTTCTTTTCCAATAAGCCTGTCCTTTCAATAAAAAATCTATAAAGAAAAATGAAACAAACACAAACCTTCCTCATTTCACAATGGGGTTACCGATTGATAAGTCACACACAAGTTAAAATCAAAAGCCAACAATGTTTTTTCTATACTAACCTGCATCATACTCTGCCCTACCTACCTTAAACAAAGGCCAGAAAATTTTGTTTTCTAGGCAAAATAATCTGACACAGGGGCCTCCCTGGTGGCATAAGGGGTTAAAACACAGCACTGTCCCCAGCCACTGACCCACATGGCGCAGCAGACCTCTCCTGACCAGCCTGCTGCTCCCCTCAGCAGTGTATTTCAGTTTATTTGTGGGTTCTGCTCCCCACCCTGTCTTTGGTGAGTCCTCTAACCGCACCCTCCACCTCTAGCCTGTACCCACTTATTGTATGCATAAATAAATAACTTTTAAAAAGTAAAACAATCTGTCACAATAAAACACTGAATATCTCAGACAGATAAAGGCATTTTGTAAACTGATAGAATGTGAAACTCAGCGTAATATCCAAAATCACTTGGCAGCAAGCCACACTGAGTTGCTTACCCCTCTCCACCCAGCACCAGGAAATGCTAATAGCATCCTCTTACTCAGTATCCTCTCATTCCAGAAAAGATCAAAATTCAAAATTCCGAGCATAGTTTCTACCAAGGCTTAGCACTTTCTCTTGCCATTAAGTGTGGGGGGAAAATCATGAAAAAACAAACCACTGTAAGTCAAAGATTAGTCTAAGTATAACAAGGAATGAACTCACCTCACCACGCCAGAGAGCCCCGACTGAACCGGCAAGGAAGGCAGGCCGCCTCGCTCAGCAAAGGCTGGGCTCTTCCTCAACAGGAACCAGCTCTGTGAAGTTCCGTCTTAAAAATCCTTACGCAAATTAAAGCAGACCCACCCGGATTATCTAGGATACAGATTATCTAGGTTACATCAATTGATGATGGGTTTCAGACAAATCGGCCAACCGCCCAAAACCTCCCCAGACAAGCGTTCGGGTCTAGCCAAGCTGCCATGCCAGACAAGCCAGAGGATTAACTTTTTTTTTTTAAAGATTTATTTATTTATGCATACAGAACTGGGGTACAGGCCAGAGGTGCAGGGGCCGTGAAAGATCTCATCAGAGACAGAGTGGGGAGTAGAACAGGCAGATCCACGAAGTACACTGCTGAGGGGAGCAGCGGGCTGGTCAGGAGAGGTCTGCCGCGCCATGTGGTCACCTCCAGGGCAGGTGGGATTGAACTCATATGCGGAAGTGGCTTTAGCTTCTTAGTGCTGTGCTCTAACCCGCTGCGCCACCAGGAAGGGCCCGGGTTAACATTTTTTTAATGGGACTGTCTGCTTGTCACGTGTCAGCTGCTACACATGCCATTAGTTTACAAAAGGCCACTTTGTGTCTGAGATATTCAACATTTCATTACAAAATAGCTTCACCGGGCCTCCCTAATGGCTCAAGGAGTTGAGTCTCAGCACTATGAAACTATCCCTAGCCACTGCAGCACAAGTTTGATCCCCAGTCAAGGAGTTGACCCACATGACACAGCAGAACTCTCCTGTTTTACCCGCTGCTCCCCTCAGCAGTATATTTCAGTAGATCTGCCTGTTCTGCTCCCCATTGTTTCTGGTGAATCCTCTCACCTCCCCTCCCCTACCTCTGGCATATACCCCAGCTTTTGTATGCATAAATACATTTTTCAAATTCTTTCAAAAAATAGCTTTACAGAGGTGACTTTACATGTAGACCTGTACCTCTGAAGTTTGTATTTACCTCAGGGAAACTCATCTCTTGCAAATAATGCAGACTAGATCAATTTGCTCATAAAAGGGGATCTATTTATAGCCACACCTGAAAACTTACATGGTTCTACTAATTGGCAACGTTTTGTGTCTTTTCAAAGTAGAAACTGTTTCACTCAATGCCTCCTTTTCTCCCTGTGGGTTCCTGCTGTTCACTTCCCTTATTACCTAACTTTCTCTGTGTAAAGTTTCTGTCCCATTGTACCTTGTATTGTGCACAACCCATTGTGTACGTCCCCATCTTTTCAATATTTTAGTCTTAATCTTTTTGGCTATTGGCAATTTTTCCAAATTGCACTAAATAGAGAGTTTAATTTAATTGCTCCAACTAAAGTAAAAATAATCACTCCAAAGACTCTTTTGGATCATTCAAATTATGTCACTGTTAAGGGGGTAGGGAGCAGTAGGGACTAGAAATGAGAAGAATGAAAGCATTTACAGAGGCTTAACTTTTAGAGATCAATGATTAAACATAAATATCTTTTAAAATACGGCAAAAATTGCAAAGCAAACTGTAGATTTCTACAGTGACTAGAGCTTTGCTTTTTGCAGCTGTCTGGGAAGGAATATATTGAATACAAGTCTCTACATCTTATCAGGCTCCCTGATTAACTCTGTCTCTTTCCATAAGCTGATGTGACTCACACACACTTAACAGCATCAAACTCTAAAATCAAAGCCAAATACCAGCTTGTGCCTCTTATCCTCTCTCCACAACTTTGTTCACTTAGCTCTATCTTGTCTATGCTCTAAATCTGGTCTCATTATATAACCACAATTTTTTAAAAAGATTTATTTATTTATACATACAGAACTGGGGTCCAGGCCAGAGGTACAGGGGCAGTAAGAGGATTCACCAGAGACAGAGTGGGGAGCAGAGAAGACAGATTGACTGAAATACACTGCTGGGGGTAGCAGTGGTGGGTCAGGAGAGGTCTGCTGTGCCATGTGGGTCACCTCCCTGCCCAGGGATTGAACTCATGTTGCAGTGGCTGCTGAGAGCGTCATAGTGCTGCACTTTCACCCCTTGTGCCACCAGGGAGGCCCAAAACTCTGAGTAACTTAATTCCATTTTCTGGTCACCATGACTGGCCAGGCTCATCATGTTCCCCCCAAGTGGGGGGGTGGGGGGTGGGTGGGAGCAGATAACTGAGTACCAGCTATTCTGTCTAGCCCTGTGGCTAGACAGAAAAAAAAAAAAAGTTAATGAGAAATACAAAGTTAATGAGAAATAATCTTTCCTCTGAAGTTTTCCTCTTTTCCTAAAGGAGGGAGAGACCAAAAATCTACAATTACACACTATTTGACACAATTATGAACACACTGGCATAGTGGCTATTTTAATCCTCTCTCAATTTCAAAGAAGGTTGTATGGAGCAGGATTCCATGAGCTTAACTTTAAGTCTTAAACACTTTTCTAAAGTAAAGTATTATGTGCTCAGAGGAAAGGACATAGATCATAAGCAGCAGCTTGAGAATTTTCAAAAATACCAGCCAAATACCAAGATCAAGAAGCTGAGCATTGTAAAGATTCCAGAAGCCCCCTTAGAATACTTTCTAGGAGGTACAGTTGTGATGGCAGAGCGGCTGAAGATAAAATTTATCTCCTCCATTAACAGGTGCCGGATGAGGGAAACCCTGTGCTATGAGTTAAAAAGTTTTAATTTTAAATTGAAAGCCATGGAGTCTATCTGAAAGGCTTTCACTTTAAGGAGAGAAAACTTGGCCCAATTGCCAAGTTGGTGACAGTGTGGAGGATGAATTAGAAAAGACCGACTGGTTGGGCTCTTCCTGATGGCACAATAGGTTAAAGCACAGCACTATGGAGTTATCACAGCCACTACAGCATGAGTTCAATCCCTGGCCAGGGAGGTGACCCATATGGTACAGCAGTGTATTTCAGTCAATCTGCCTATTCTGCTCTCCATTATGTCTCTGATGAATCCTCTAACCTCCGCACCTCAGTCCTGTACCCCAGTTCTGTATGCATATATAAATAAATCTTAAAAAGAAAGAAAAGACAGACTGGAGGCCCAAGGCTACTTCAAATACTGTTGGAGTGAGACTGGCTAAGAGACTAGCTAAGAGGGATGAAGGTTTTGAGCCAGGACTGCTCTATGGACAAGGGCAGGAGCTAGGGACTGCTGGGAGTAGCATCTGCCTTTGCTGGATTAGCTGTGGAAGGGGAGTAGCTGAGGATACCCCTAGTTCTCACCTTGAAGATTGACTTGATGGTGATACCAAAGTAAGAAAAAGAAGACATAGTAGGTAAGGAGAGGGTAAGGTCATGGGTTCTCTGATGGTGAGCATGGTGAAGAGTATAGGTTTGAAAGGTGTGAGCCTATACCCCTACATCACATACCACATGGTAGACTAACATTAATGTAATAAAATAATTAAAATAACAAAAGGACGGGTGATAAAGATAATGAGTTTATGTTGGAACATTTTTAAATATATTATACATACAAGGGCCGTGGTGCAGCCCAGAAGAGCAGCGGGTGAGAAGACTCATCACAGACAGAATGGGAAGCAGAACAGGCAGATTGACAAAGTACACTGCTTGGGGGGAGCAGTGGGCGGAGTCAGAAGTTCTGCCACACCATGGGGGTCAGCTCCCTGGCAGGGGGGTCCAGTTTGGCGCTACAGTGGCTGGCAATAGCTTGAAGTGCTGAGACCTAACCCCTTGTGCTACCAGGGAGGCCCATGGTGGGGCATTTTTAAATTGGTAGAACCATTGTTCATAGAGGTATGGGTTGGAAAAAATAGATTTGGTGGTCACCCTTTTGTACTTTATAAAATGAGTCCATGTGTGCAGACGAGACCCCCAAGAGGGAAAGTGTATAGAATGAGAATAAGAGAATTTAGGAGCACAGGTATGTAAGTTGTGGGGAGGGAAAGAATGAGTCAGGCAAGAGACACCTAAAGAAAAATAAAAACCAAGGGAGGGACAAAAATGGAGAGAAAAATCCAGGTTACAGAGAGATAAGCCTTGATTGGATTTAACTGGAGAAAAATAATAAAGGCTTCTGTGGAATGATGGATGAATTAATTGGGTTTAAGAATAAATAGGGGGCCCTCCCTGGTGGCACAGTGGGTTAAAGCACAGCTTTAAGAAACTAAAGCCACTTCAGCAGGATTTCAATCCCTGGCCTGGGAGGTGACCCACATGGCACAGCAGACCTCTCCTGACCCACCCGCTGCTCCCCTCAGCAGTGTACTTCATCAGTCGGCCTGTTCTGCTCCCCAGTCTGTCTCTGGTGAATCCTCTCACTGCCCCTGCACCTCTGGTATGTACCCCAGTTCTGTATGCATAAATAAACCTTAAAACAATAAGTATTTTTTAAAAAATTATAAATGGGTAAGAAAAAATTGGGGATTCATAGCAACATCTGAGGTTGTTACATCATAAAATTTGACCTGTATAATGAGAATTGTAAAACAAGTATTGTTTTGCTCTGTCCATTATCTTAAAACATGGCCTGAAACACAATAAACCCCGGAGGGCCTCCCTGCTGGCCTAGGGGTTAAGACTTGGTACTATCACTGCTACCACCTGAGTTCGATTCCCCGCCAGGGAGCTGACCACATAGGTGGCACAGCAGGCCCCTCCTGTCTCACCAGCTGCCCCCCTCAGCTGTGTATTTCAGTAGATCTTCCTGTTCTGCTCCCCACTCTGTCTCTAGTGGATTCTCTTACCACCCCCCAAACCTGTTACCTACACTCCAGCTCTTCTATACACACACACACACACACACACACACACACACAAAGTAAAAATAAACCGTTGAGATATTTACTCATTTATTTACTTGTTTATTTCTGTACATGTATATGGAATATTTTTAGCTGGGCTCCAGGTCAAACTCATGGACAGGTCCTGGATTGCTTGCACCTGGGCCATAACTTCCCTTGCTTGGGAGGAGGCCACAATAGTAACTATCTGCCCATCCCACAGAGGGCAGGGCAGCTTTATCTGTTCTCTGCAAGATGAGGTCAGCTGAGGTCTGCTATCACAGTAGGCCCGGGGAGCACACATTCCATTAATCAAGGGCAAACCGGTCTGGTCATCTTGAACAGAGGCGTGATAAAATATCTATCAAAAGTTAAGATTATTTTTGATGAAACTGGAGTAAAAAACTGAAGGAAAACAGAAGGTTAAAAAAAAAAAAAAGTTGAGTCTCTCCCTGGTGGCTCAATAGTTAAAGCACCACATTATGAAGCTCTGCGAAACTACTGCAGCACGAGTTGGATCTCCAGCCAGGGAGCTGACCCACAAGGTGTGGCAGACCTCTTCTGGCCCACCTGCTGCTCCCCTCAGCAGTGTATTTCAGTCCATCTGCCTGTTCTGCTCCCCACTCTGTCTCTGGTGAATCCTCTCACCCACCACACCTCTTGCTTGTACCCCAGTTCTGTAAGTATAAATAAATAAATCTTTAAAAAAAATTTTTTTGAAGGTAATCACAACCTATCTCTCTTGAAAAATGTGAAGCTAGATTAAGAATTTCAGACAATTTGATAGACAAGGTTATGCCTGGAGGCCAAGAAACCCTAGTGATTATGAGTTCTGCAAATAGTTCCAAAAACTTTTTGAGACTTAAAAGCAAGAAAACCTCTTTACTACCACATTCCTGCAAAATCAAAGTAAATAAATGTTTAACAAAATGTCAATGAACAATAACATATCAGTTAGCCAACTGTACTCAACTTGTAAATAAATTTAAAGTTACATAAAGGCAATTGACGTGTAGTAGGGTCTTCTGTCCTCTGCGTGTGTGTGTGCGTGTGTGTGTGTGTATTATCCCCCACTCCCTTGCGTATTATGATGTTTTGACAGCTTAGAAAACTCTTCTGACTGGGGAAAGGATGCCCCGCCAGGGAATTGCCAGTTCTGGGAGCAGGACCCTGACACTAGCCAGCCCAAGTCATGCCTCCTCTCTGTGGCTCCTGTCTACAGCTCAGGAGACATTATTCTTCCTCTGGACCAAACACCAGGTAACTAAGCACCACCCCGCCTGACAACAGGATTCAAACCAGTCAGTCTTAAACTGTTAACCTACCTTGACTCTCCCCTAAACCTTCTGCTCACTCCTTTCTTTTTTTTTTTTTAAGATTTTATTTACTTATATATACAAGAACTGGGGTCCAGGCAAGAGGTGTGGGCAGTGAGAGGATTCTCCAGAGATGGAGTGGGGAGCAGAACAGGGGGACCCACTAAAATACACTGCTGGCAGGTGAGGAGAGGTCTGCTGCACCATGTGGGTCACCTCTCTGGTAGGGGGTGGGAGGACTGGGGTGAGGAGGGAAAGAATCAGCTCATAGCACAGTGGCTGTGCTGGCGATAGCTTGATAGTGCTGAGATTTTTACTGCTACACCATCAAGGAGTCCCTGCTTACTCCTTCACCTCTGACCAGTCTGGTGTTTTCACATGTGCCTTCCTGTCTCTAGGATCTGAATGTAGATGTTGAATTTGATCCTGGTGCATTGGATGCTCTTCCACTGCCTCTTGAGGTGGCTTGTCAGACTGACAGGGGTCTAGGGAGGAAGGGGAGACACCATACCTAGAGTCATATGTTTTGCAAAAAGGATCAGACCTTTCTTTCACTCCTTCTATGCACCTATCCAGCAGAGGCTGCAGGTATACAACTTGTCACTAATAACCCTTCTCTTTAAACTAAAACTCTTTCTTTGAACTCAGATTCCTCCCCGAGAGTACCAGAACAGATGTATGGGGAGGCCAATCAATTCTCGGACTGAACGTGATGAGCACCAAGAATATCAACTGTGACAGGCTGTTCTGACGGGCTGTTTGCTTATGAGTAGCTGCTTTTCTTTGACTCATTGTAAAAAGGCAGCTCAAGATGAGACGGCAGAATGGTCTCTGTGTTCTCGCAGACCAGTGACCAGTGATCTGAAAAATGAAAGTGCTTGGAGGTTCAATTGCTGTCTCTGCTTATTGGCTTTATGGTAGAGATAGACAGAATAATCCAGTCTATTCTCAAGAACAATAGTTCAGCAGCCAAAATGTGAAATCGATTGATTTTCAGGAAGCCTTGACTGTGCTGCAGATAAACTTAATGTAGTTGACAGTTCAGCCATATGTTATGGGCTTTGCAAAGAGGATCAGGCCTTTTCACTCCCTCTCTGAAAAGTGTTCTATCAAGGTTTTCCTTGAAGAAGTACATGTGGGTGACTGTCAACATGTTGTTTCAGAGTGTGATGTCAAATGCAGACCAAACTTCCAGTTTCTTGAAATAGGAAGAACGATGGACATGTTTTCTGCAGCTGAAAAAAAAAAAAAACTCTTTGAAATAATCAAATCGTGTTTTCTGAAAACATCACTACTCATCCTTTTGCTGTTTAAAAATTATATATTTTTTTAACTTGCAAAAACAAAAGATTGAGTATGACAGCTGTATCCCCAGTTGTCACTGATTTTTTTTTAAGATTTTTTTTTATTTATTTATGCGTACAGGAACCAAGGTACAGACTGGAGGTACGGGGAGTTGGGTGGTGAGAGGATTGACCAGAGACAAAGTGGGGAACATAACTGGCAGATTGACTGGCACACACTGATGAGGGGAGCAGCGGGCAAGACAGGAGACATCTGCTGAGCCA